ACGCTCTTCCGATCTCCTACCATCTCATACAAATATATATATATATATATATATATATATATATAAAGACAGAACGCTAAAAAAATAATAATAGGGATTGTTAAAAAGTCATGTTAGAATTTTGAGCAGCCGCTGCAATATTTGTTGATAAATGTTCAACTTTATTATATTATTAAATAAAAAAGAAACATTTTAAACTAAAACGACACACTGTGAATGCAAAATAAATGGTTTTGTCCTCAAAGATGAAGATAATTTATGTCAAAAGACGTTCTTTTTAGTTGGACTGTTTTACTAAAGCCAAGAACACAAATGTTTATCGTCATTAAGGTTCATTTGAACTTAAAGTCTTTTAGCGTTTTATAGATAAACAGTTTGAGTTTCTCATCAGCTTTGGTTTTAGGCTGTTTGTTTAGGGTTTAACTGGCAATCAAATACACATAAAAATACATTTACACACTTTATAGGCTAATTAATATAATTTTGCATATTTTGTACAGTGCACAAAGTGAATAAGATCTGCAAAAATCTATCTTTATCCTAACTCACCTCTTCAGAGGTCATACACACACTCCTCTTCAACTTGCAGTGGTTTCACCCATCAACTAGGGCAGGAAATGTATCTTTTACCAGTTCAGTTTATATTAATAATAATATGAAATATTGCAATAAATGTTCAACAGATTAAAAACCCACTTTTAGGAGTTTAAATTTAAGTTAAGTCAAGATTGGACAGGTCTTCATTTTGAAAGAACTTGACCAAAGATGTTCAAGATGCCCCTAAATCACTGAAATCTCCCTGTTTAGAACAAAAATATAGATTTCATTAATTGTATTTTATTCATCTGTGTTCAAGGTAGAAACGTTTTGCTCAGGTCAGACAAGAAAAACTGCTCAATTATTAATGCTACACTTTTTTTATTGCTTTAAACACATCTTTCCTCTGACCCAAACAGGACATTTTTAGATCTTTCTTTCACCTTTCTGACAACTTCCTGGGTCAAAGATAAAGAAAAATAGACCAGCAGTTTGTTTCTGTTGGCTACTGATTTCATTATTTTACATCTTAACATCCTTTGTTTGACCTACAATCAATAAGATCTCTCATTTGTTGTTGTTTTTTGTTTCCTAATGGAATAAAACCAATCAGTAAAACATGCATGGACCGTGCGTCAGTAACTGTTGGAGGGGAAATAACTGATTGTGAGTCTTCGTTGATGGAGATGTTGCTGACAAACAGCACTTGGTTAAGCATTTTATGTATTTTGTATAACTGATCTGAAGTTAAGTCTAAAATGAAAAGTTCCCTGCAGCAATAACTCTGCTCCCTTCTGGAACTTCATGCTCCACCTCTGACCCCCCACCAGAATATGTCTCCAAATCCTCCACTGCTCTTCATATCTGATCTGTTTGGCTGGAACCAGTTGCATCAAACCCCAGTTGAATGAAAAATGTTGTGTGTATGTGGAGCAGAAGGTCCTCCTCTTACCTTCCAAGCAGCAAGTCCTCCACAGGCCCGAGTGTGTCATCACCTCCTCGTTCTTCTTGCTGGTCTCGTTCTCGCTCATGGACTTGGACCTGCAGACGCCGCGCGAGTACAGCCAGTAGTCCGTTCCGACCGCGATGGTCATGAGGCTGAAGGCCGCGAAGGCGCCCACCGTGGTCAGCAGCATCTGGACTCCGCGGTCGAACAGACCCATGTTTCCGCATTCCATGAAAGGGGGACCCCCTTTCCTCTTGATGTACAGGAAGTAAATATTTGAAAACTTGCGGGACCAAACCAAACCGAAAAACCGGGTCAGACTCGAGCGGAAGGAGAGGGAGGAAGGAGGAGGAGGATGCGGTAGGAACCTTATGGTTGCGTTTGGGTGAGGACCACAGCAGGAGAAATAAAAACCTCAAGATCGGTGTGGAGATGGAGGGAGAGAGGCAGGGCTGTTTCCCCTCCTGGTCAGAAATCACTTTTCCTACATAAAGGAGAGGAGGAGCGGGGATGCAGAGGATGGAAGGAGGCCTGTGGTTGCAGATGGAGCCCACACTGCAGCAGCAGAATGGGAATAAAAACACTGAAGGTGAATTAAACCTAAAGACTTGGTTGAAACGGGCTCTGCAGACCTTCAAAACAACCTGTTTGTTCAAGCTGAATATCCAGGGGCTCAGATGATGGCAGACTTACAGTAAAACTGTTCGATATTACTTTAATCAGAGACTAATGCTGCCAATCAGGGCTAGACCCAAAGCTAAGCACTAGTGTTATTAGGCAATTATTATTCTAGAGGGGGTTGTTAGTCAAAAAGAGGGAGGAAAAGCAACTGGGGAGGGAAACGGATGTTTATATCTACCATTTAAACATAAAATAACCACCAAATGGAAACGGTTCGTATAAATCAAAGCTATTCTCTGAGTGTTTTATAACAGCCTCAAAGAAAATCACAAATCAAGCCGGGGGATCAGGAAACCAAGGCTCAAAGATGAAATTAATTAATTAACAGGCGTAATATGTCACAGGAACTAGGTATAGACGCTGAAAAAAAGACTGTAAAATAATAAATAAATGAATTAATTAACCGCTTAGATTTTCCTTTTTCCTAAAATTTTGATCCCCCGTTTCCATATGGAGTCCTATACCTCTGGGCAGGTTTCCGCCGAAAATGGGGGTCTGCGGTCAGAGGAGGTTCGGTCCGTCGACGATCCGGAGATAGCGGGGAGCATCCAGCAGGGCAAGCCGACCATCACTCGACATGCAGCCGGCAGGAGGAGGACGAGGAGTCGGTGTGGGCGCCGCCGCAGCCGCGGATGATGGAGGAGCAGGATGCTGGTGGTGCTGATGTTGCCTGGAGATCCGGATCCACCGCGGCGGTTTCACGCCCAGGACAGTCCCGTTCGGGTCGGAGCCCTTGCGCCATGAAAGAGGAAGAAAAATGAGCTCTGATGAACGTAGCAATGCTCCTGGTTTTTCCCCTCCTCCTCCTCCTCTCCTTCCTCTGCTCCTTCCTCTCCTCACGGATGCAGGTTTGGCCGCTTTGAAGAAAGAAAAAAAAAAATCCTGTATTACACAATCAGGAGAGGGAGTCTCAGATCCACAGTGTTGTCACGATGTCAGCGGAGCTTCATGCAATCAGCTCCTCTCTCCCAGAAGCTGCTCCTAATTCAGCAGGTCAGTTTGAATCCTCCTCCTCCACTTCGCAGTAAACCTGTCTGTTCTCCGCGCTGCAGCAATGGAGGCTCTGCTGGGAAGATATTAAAGATTTTTTTTTTTTTTTATTAGTGAGCGGTGGAGGGGGCGGAACGAGGGTGTCTCTCGCCTTCTCTGCCCTTAAATGGTGGATCTTTGAACTGTTCCTGTGCGCACAGTCTGGGGTTTAAAGCTCGTTATTACCGACGCATTCAATTGTTGCAGCTCCTCCATCAACTTCACTCCCTTTTGCTTGAACTTGTTCTGGTAATTCACTTTTTTTTTTTAGGTCACAGCTTTCATCTGTAGTAGTCGCATGAATGATAATTAGCACCGTGGATGAACCACAAAACAGTTTTTTTAAATCGCGTTAATGATTAAAATACATGATATCGTAATAAAATGTACAAATCTTCCTTTAACTTCCAGCCTCCTGTGTGATTGTTGTGGAGTTTTAGCGCAGAAGCCAGAGTGGTGCTGAAAGGACAGCTCCCTGGAGCTCAGCCTCTTCGGACTCTGCTGCCATCTGCTGGTCAAATGCCCTCATTGCAACTGGTTTAAAATCAACAATTCAAATAAAACCAAGACAACTGCTGTAATAAAACCCCATTTTCTTCTAGGAGTAAGCAAAGGAACTAACATCTAAATGTCAAAATACTCGTTGATTAGCAAAAATCAGTGACTGAGCTCCTAATTTAGGTGAAACTGTGTCAGTAAAATAAAGAAAATGGTCTCGTGTTGCTGCAGGAACAGCTTGTACAGTTTCATATCCTGGAGCAAAAGCTGCACCATTAAAGATTTTAAAAAGGAACAGCACAAGACAGATTAAATGTTCTCTTACTGAAGTTTATTCAACAATAACAGGTCACATTTCCAAAGATCTTCACATGTTCAAATTTGATTTTTTTTTTCTTCTTTGATTCTGTAGCTCACAAGTACAGCAAGGGAATCCAAATGAAGTATGTGTTCACTGATCAAATGTCCTTTACTCTTACTTTTCTTACCTAGCTGTTGCTTCCTGTGGGTGGAGCTACAGAATAATATCTCACCTGGATAAGACTCTTTGAAACTGGACCTGACAACTCAAACTTATTGGACTGAGGCACAGAAAACATGAGTTTGGGCTGAATAAACTTTATCTCTAAGTTAACTTCTGGATGTTAAAACTGCTTTCTGCTCATCTTGATTTAAACTGGACTCCATTTTCTTCTTCTCTACATCTGATGAAAAACAGCACATTGGAAAACTCCGATTTTTATTGTTTTTTACAGTTTTCTTCAGTTTATTTGCTCCTGGAGTCCAATATTCTTAGTTTATTATGACTAAAACTCTGTAGCCACAAACAATTTAAATAAGAGTTCTTGTTAAAGTTTTAAAGTGAACAAATTATCTTTAAATTCAAAACATAATGAAAGATATAAATATAAACAAATGAAGGAAAATGTATTTGAAAAATAAAAACTCATTTTATCAATTTAAAAAGAACCATAGTTTTGCAGTAAAATGTTCCCTCAGCTGGATTCTTATTGAAAACTATGAAGTTTGACTAAAATAATGAACAAAACTTTTAGTTTCTATTTTTTTTTCTACTCATAGATGACAGTCGAGCAATTTAGGGCTTATCATTAAAAAAAGAGTTTAATCTTTGATTCTTTTAAAACATCATAACTTCTTATGAATCTAACCGAGTTAAATCTGACTTTCTGTCCCTTCAAAAAAAAAAAAAATGCTTCTTGACACATTTTTTTTAAAGCCTACAAATAGTTCAGCAGCAATAAATCTTTTACTTGAGCACATGTTAAAAAGCTGAACAAATTAGATTTATTTAAACTATAAACATTTTAACTAAATCACAACAAAAATCAAACAACTGTAACAGGAGACCAGAAACTCTTAAGTTGCTTTTAATGTTAAAAATTGAAGCCTGATTGTTGTGTGGTACTTTTACTTTTTTAAAATTATTTCCAAGCTTTTTTTTTTGTAAAGTCTTGTTTAGATAAAGTGTTGCTCAGCTGCTCATGTAACCAGCAGCGTCCGCAGGTCTCCTCCTGGAAACAAAAAGCCATCATCATGTTCCTCTCAGGCCTCGGGGCCACATGTCAAATATCAGACGAGCTCCAGTCTGACCTGTTTGGACAGGCAGGTCGCTGCAGCTCCCAGTTCAGCATTTTTTAATACTGAGCAACTCAGCTGCATGCTGAAGCAGGGGTGAAGTCGTAATAAATAGAAGAGTTGATTAAAAAAGGAAAGAAACTTCTTTCTGCGCTCAAAAACCTGGAAAACCTTTTTATTTGAACACTAGCGACAGTGATCCCTTCATAAAACACAATGAGGTGCTCAACGTTCAGATGTGGAGGCAGAGGTTCAGTAACACTCAGGTTTTAAAGAAACCTTCAATAAATAAACAAGGAGGAAAATGATGGGAACCGAAGTGGAAGGACTTAAAAAAATTGTCAAGTTTCCAAAATGACATTTGGCTGAGCTCGTTTAGGTTGAGTCCGACCCAGCTTGTGATAGTGCTGCACATTTCATTCACCACCTCTGATGCTGTTTCATTTGGTGTCAGTATCTCAGCATTTATCATTTCTGTTGAGTGGAGCTAAAATACACTTTGAGGAGAGTTTGACTGAAAGTAAGAGGACCACAAAATCGAACAGTCTTTAAAACCCACGGAAAACGTTTTTTTGTTGATTGTTCTTGTTCTCTGCAGAGATGTACTGAACCGCTGCGTGTCCTTAAAATTAAACCAATCTGCTGTTTAAAGAACAAACTGTGTTCAGAGTTTAAACAAAACTCACTGTGACAGCTGGAACACTTCGGTTACCACAAATAACACAACAAACAAACACTTAAATATTTAATATACTGTCGTAGTCCACAGATAATGTAGGGTTCCTTAATTAACACATCCAAGTCTTAGTGAAGTTAAAAAGTCAACTGTTTAATTTAATTGAGACTGTGAGAGCTTATTTTGTGTGTGTTTTTAAAAGCGAACAGAAAAGAGATATATAATATATGTAATTTGACCGGATGGGCCTTGATGAAGTGGAGACGTGGATGAAAGTCACAAATGTGTACTTATACGCATCACAGCAGAGAAGGGAAGTAGAGTCTTTAATTAAAAAAGTAAAAACAACAAACCAAACAGCAGTGATGAGAACACGGATATCACATCTAACAAATGTTACATGGAGGAAACAACAACGAGGATCTTGACTGACTGAAAAGGTTTTTATTTGAAGGTGTTTAAACAATGCAGGCTGAAGAAAGCAATAAATACAAAGAGCAGTCAGGACATGTTTGCTGGAGTAGTACGAAGCATAAACTTGTTTAATCTTTCCTTTTTACACAGAAACTAACAATTGTCTGTTTAGTTCATGTTTTATTTTGTCATAGACCCTCCTTACATTTACTACATACAACATTTTGGTTAAGTACCAGAAGTAACACTTCCAGGATTATACTGTACATATTTGCAGTTATATATACAGAGTACATATACATCACATATACACACAGGGCTGTCACAACATCAGGACGCCTCCTGTTAACCTGCCTCTGGAGATCTTCTAGAAACATCTTGCTGGGAAGAGACCCAGAACTTGCTGGAGGGATGATATATCCTCTCTGGCCCAGTGATGCTTTGGGTACCAGGAGGAACTGGAAAGTTTCCCTCTGGGGTGAGGGAGGTCTGGGATTCTGTCCTTGACCTGCTGCCTCCTGTTTATTTTTTTTATTTATTGTTCCTTGCTTTCCTAACAGAACACTTCGCTCTCAAACTGCAGGTTTACTTGTGGTTCCTAGAGTTTCCAAAAGTAGAATGGGAGGAAGATATTTCAGTTATCAGGCTCCTCTCTTGTGGAACCAACTTCCAGTTTCTGTCCGTGAGGCTGACACATTGTCTACTTTTAAGATTAGGCTTAGCATGCATCAGGATATTAGGCTTAAGTCTTTCCTTTTTGATAAATCCTATAGTTAGGGTTGGCTTGGGTTTCCTGAACTATCGTTTAGTTCTGCTGCTATAGGCTTAGACTGCTGGAGGACAAACTGACCACATTTTCTCCCTCTGCTGCTATTTTACTCTACTCTACCTGTTTGTATTTTTAATTATTTCTATTTTAACGGTTTTTTTTTGTCTTTCCTCCTGTAGAAAGTTCACCTGGACCTGTCAATCTGTGATTGTTTCTACTTCTTGTCCTCTCAAACCCCAGCCGGTCGAAGCGGATGGCCGCTTGTTCTGAGCCTGAGGTGTCTTACTGTTAAAATGGAGTTTTTCCTTTCCACTGTCTCCTTTGGGCTTGCTCAGGATGGGAGACTGTGACAAAGTGAAGATTCAAGACGATCTGCTGCTTCCTTAGATAGAGAACTTTTACTAACTGGCTTTTTTAATGTCTGCATAAGTCTGTTGTGACTTGGCTCTATATGAATAAACTGAATTGAATTGTTTCTTCCGCTTATCAAAGTCAGCACTGCCAAGATAGCACCTTACGTATGAAACATACACAAAGTTGTTGCACTAATGTTGCACTAAATTGTCCCAGGTAGAGGTACACAGGGTGTCGGAACATAAATCTGTGTTCAAGCAGGACTTGAGTTAATACATGTGAGGACAGAGCCAACTCAGCAGCATTTCTGCCCTGATCCCTGAGCTGAGTGCAGCTGAGTGACTGTTTTGACATGAATGTCCCTGTGCTGCCGGCACGTGCGCACGCACACACACATACATCCTGCCACTGCTCCAAGCCTGAGGTTCAGTCCTGGTTCAGAGTCTTCAGGTGCTTCTACAAGCTGCCGTCACTTCAGCTGACCTGCAGGTAGAGCTGCAGTTTCTGCTGTGTTAATGGACATGCAACTTTAATCCTGCATGCATGATGAGGTGTGGGTAATGGTTTTGTGCACCAGTCTTGGAAATGAGTTTGCTGACATTTTCAATGATTCAAGAGTGCACAGAAATTCAACGAGATTCAAGTCTGGGGAGTTTTAGTGTCTACTGGTTCCCATTTTTAAGAACAAGATTGATGTTCAGAGCTGTAGCAACTACAGGAGGATTAAGTTGATGAGCCACATGAAGAAGTTCTGGGAGAGAGTTGTGGAAGCTAGACTGATACGAGAGGTGACTGTGAGCAGCAGTATGGTTTCTTGCTGAGAAAGAGCACCATAGATGCCATCTTTGCTTTGAGGATGCTGATGGAGAAGTACAGAGAGGGTCAGATAGAACTCCACTGTGTCTTTGTGGATTTAGAAAAAGCATCTGACAGGGTGCCAAGGGAGGAGGTGTGGTATTGCATGAGGAGATCTGGAGTGGCAGAGAAGTATGCCTGGTACAGCACATGTATGAGGACAGCAGGACAGTGGCGAGATGTGCTGTAGGAGTGACAGATAGCTTCAAGGTGGAGGTGGGAGTCCACCAAGGATCAGCTCTGAGCCCCTTCCTGTTTGCTCTGGTGATGGACCGACTAACAGATGAGGTCAGGCAGAAAGCCCCGTGAACTATGATGTTTGCAGATGACATTGTGGTCTGTGGTGAGAACAGGGAACAGGTGGAAGAGAACTTGGAGAGGTGGAGGTATGCACTTGAAAGAAGAGGAATGAAAGTCAGCCGTAGTAAGACGGAGTACACGTGTGTGAATGAGAGGGAGGAGCGAGGTGGAACAGTGAGGCTACAAGGAGCAGTCACAAAGGTGCAGGACTTCAAGGACTTGGCGTCAGCTGTCCAGGAAAATGGAGAGTGTGGTGAAGAGGCGAAGAAGAGAGTCCAGGCAGGATGGAGTGGATGGAGAAAAGTTTCAGGAGTGATTTATGACAAAAGGGTGTCAGCAAAGGTCAAAGGAAAAGTTTACAAGATAGTGGAGAGACCAGCTGTGGTGTATGGTCTGGAGACAGAGACATGGACAAAAAGACAGGAGACAGAACTGGAAGTAGCAGAAATGAAAATGTTGAGGTTCTCCTTATGAGTGACAAGGATGTATAAGATTAAAATCAATTTAATTTCAATTAAGTTTATTTATAACTTAATCCTCATCTCTGAGGACCTCTCCTGGACCATCAACACAGCAGCAGTGGCCAAAAAGGCTCACCAACGGCTCTACTTCCTCCGCAAGCTGAGAAGAGCGAGAGCCCCCACCCCCATTATGACAACCTTCTACAGGGGGGCCATCGAGAGCATCCTGATGAGCTGCTCCACTGTGTGGTACGGGGCCTGCACAGCATCCTGCCGCAAATCCCTCCAGCGGATCGTGAGGACAGCTGAGAAGATCATTGGCACCTCTCTCCCCTGCCTTCAGGACCTCCACAGCTCTCGCCTCAGAAGTAAAGCCCTCTGCTGGGTGGGAGATCTTGACCACCCGCTACACTGCTTCTTCAACCTGCTGCCATTAGGGCGGAGACTGCGTAGCCTCAGTTCTAGGACCAGCAAACTGTGGAACAGCTCCGTCCATCAGGCCGTGAGGATGCTGAACTCTCTGCCTGCCCCCCCCCCGCCCCCCCCCCCCCTTCTGCCACCCCGCACCCCCCCACCCCGCCTCCCCACACCCCCCCCCCTCCCCCCCCCCCCTTCAAAACTGCTCTGGGACATTTATTTATTTTCATGAATAGTTTATGAACTCGGTCACTTTAACAGCCTACAAGCTCACTCTATTGTTTATTGCATTATATTTTGCACTACTGTTATGATCAACTCGTCCTGTCTATTCTGGTAATTCTGGTAATTCTGGTATTGTCATTTCCACTTAATCACCTCATCAGTACATAACTGTGACTCTATAGAACCGGTATGCACACCTTCACTTTACTAAGTTTCTCAGGTTTATACTTTATATTGCACTATTGTTTACTCTGGCCTTGCACATCCATTATCTAACTCTCATCACGTTATTGTCTTCAGTCAGCGTCCCTTTGTCTCCTGTTAGTCACTATTGAGCACGTTGCATCAGAGGTCCTGCTGCTGTTCACTTTTACTTTTATATTTTTTATATAACTAGTTGTGTTAGTTTATTTTTGCTAATGTTGTTGTTTGCTGCAACTTGAGTAGGAGTGTAACGCAATTTCAATTTCTATGTATGTCCTGTACATATGCAGAATTGACAATAAAATCAATCAATCAATCAATATAGTCCCAAGTCACAATAAGTTTTCTCAGGGCACTGTACAAAAACCTTCACATATGTTAAAAGATAAGTCAATTAGTAAAGGTTAAGAAAACCAACAGATTGTGTTGATTGATACTCATTTTAATTTTTTATTAGAAATGTTAAACTGTGATTGTACTTCCTTAACCAGTGGGTATATTTCCTACAGTCATGGAAGGCATCACCAGGAAGTGATGTCAGGAAAACGCTTGTTTACATCTTTTTTTTGTAACAGTCCGACATTGTTTAACATCAAACAATAATTGCACACGACATTAAAAGTCAGAAACCTTTTTAATATTCTGTCCTCCGATGGACTGTTCTGTCACATAAAACGATAAAGAACAATGTTAAAGTTGCTGGTATACTGGATCAGCCGAAGGGAGGCGAGCTCCGCTGTGATTGGTTATTGGGGTTGGGTTCCTTGTGTTGATTGGTTTATCATCCTGAAGTGGGCGTGGTCAATCAGCACTGTTTACAACCGGTTTTTGTATTTACAACCAAACTAAACAAACTCCTGCGGGGTGTGGAGGTTTCGTGCGAGCGGCTCCACCCGCTGATGTGGAGAAACAAAAAACGAAACCAAACATGCCTGAAGTCAGTTCAGAAACTTTCGCACCGAGACAAGATTCACTTATTTAATCAGAGATTTCTGGCGCTGCAGACGTCCTGTCAGCTCTTCATTTTATTGTTAAATTTGATTTTGTTCTCCAAAGCAGAGAGATCCAGAAACAGGTGAAGGCAGCAAACGGAGAGGAAGATGTCTGCAGCAAGGTAAAGTCCGAATCTGCGATTTCCTCTCTTCAGAACAGACAGAAAGTTTCATGTTCAAACTTTATTTAAACACGAGCAACAAGAAGGTTTCAGTACTTTATACAAAGTTTGTGTTTAATCTTTTTAACTGGTAATTGTTTAAGGCCATATAGTGTCAAATAAATGTGTTTACAGCAAAGGAGAAGTTAAGAATACGATCATGGAAACGGATTTTATTTTAATATCATTGCATTCATAATCAGAAATTTACTTAAATATGTATTTTATAACCCCATAGAAAATGTTAAAACTATGTTTATGGGGCAAAAACAAAAAAAAGGCTGTAATATTAATTGTGGTCACTGATTTTTTTTAAATAATCAGCGCTTTGGCGACATCTGCTGGTCAATTTGTAGAACTGCGCTTAAAACAAACCAGATAAATTTGTTGCAATATTTTATTTATTTAAACCTTTCATTTTACCAGGAAAGAAATCCTTATGTGCAACAGTTTTATTTGTCAGGAACAGAACTGCTGACCTCTAACTCATTTGGACAAGTGGAACTTGGTTTTGCTGCAATATTTTTCTTGATACTGGATAAGCAGGGCAACAGTCCAAGGTCATTGTTTGTCACGTGTCTCATAAACACCTGAAGTTTCACTTTACTTACAGTCTGCACTTCTATAACATGTTGAAAGCTGAAGAAAACGAGTTGTCAACTTGTGATTACCAATTGTTTGTGGATAAATGAGTCACTGAACATTAATTAAAAGTCAAGTTTATCAGCATCTACATCAGGAACTATTTCATGTTTTGTGCTTTTTAAATTTGTCTCTTTAGTTGTTGTATTTTCTGGCTTTTTACAAGTTTTATAGTTTTTAATTGTTCCAAAATATATTGTTTTGGTTGTCTTTTTTTTTTTCTTATACTTTTATTGACTTTGTGCCTGCTGCAAAATATCCACTTGAACACATGTACAGTGAAATTCAGTCTACAGAACCAAACTCAACAAAATGAAAATAAAATAAGGAAGATTGAAAGTCAAAATAAATAAGTCGGAGTGAATAAATATGTCAGACAGGATATGGAGAGATACGGTCATATGGACCCAGAATGCACACTGACTCGAGGAGTCAACACAGAAAGCAAAACTAAGAAACCTGATCTCAGACACAAATAAACAAGATACACAAATATGATTTAATAAAAGAACAGTGTACATTAATAACAGAATTCAGAGTTGTTTGTATTTCCTGCTGAGAAACATATTTTGATTATAACCTTTAAATTGGCTCAGGAAAAAAAGAAAGTTAAAACTTCTTAAGAAACTCAGAAGTTAGCTTGAGTAGGAATTTTTAGAGGTAAAATGCAAAAATATGAATCAAAATATTTAAAGAAGTTGTGCATTTACAATCTTTATGTGTACTTCGTCATGCACATTCGAAACTGATCCAGTTTTTATGATCAGCTCCTTACAACCCTACTGTGCAGAATGGAACAGCTTTGCATGATTAATAAAACACGCTGCTTTAAATATAATCTTTGTTCGACTGCTTCAGGAAGATATGAGTGTAAAAACTCCCTCACTTAAAACAGGAAATAACAAAGTTGGTAGTTTTAGTCAAGATTTTTGACACAAGGATTTCCAGCATCACCAGCTGGGCTTATAGCAGAATAAGATGATGGGAAGTCTTTTCAGTTAAGTTTATCTAACAGTCTTATTTTTATGTATTTCTGTAGTTTGGGCAGTACGTGAGTCTTTGACGTGTTCAGCAGCTTTATCTAAATGTCGACTGAATAGAAGGGGTTGTTTTGGCTCATATGTAACATTGATTTTTAAAAAAAGGTCTACGTATTTTTTTCATTACAAACGCATAATAATTGCTTAACTGAAATAAACATGTACTGATAAAACAAGTTCACTTACAGATAATATATAGAAGAACATTCCCACTTAACGCCTAAACCCTTAGTGACATAGATCTGTAAAAAAGGCCTTGTAGATTCCCCCCTTGGCCGCACATGTATCAAACTCAAGGCCCACGACCCAAATCTGGCCCTTGTCAACATCTTATCTGGCCCCCAAGATGATATTTTAAATGTAAAATATTTTTAATCGTCTCATTTTGCTTAAAAAAAACAACAACTAGCATTTAGTGCAGACTTCTTATGACAGCTGGTCAACTTTGAAGCCAGAAAAAAAGGTTGGATTTTCCAGTAATCGTTGATTTCGACATGGAACGACTGAGATTGGCCCAAGTTTTTAAACTTAGGCTTCCTTCTCTTAACTGTTCGACAGCCCTGTGCACCATAATGGCCATGTAGGCCCTCCCCTTTTGATTGACACCTCTTTTGACCAACTGGGTCAATCTGTGGTCTCCACAGCCAATAAAATTCACTAAAGTTACAATAACTTTGAGGATATAAATTAGAGTGATACCTTTACAGAGAGATCAAGCTTTTGCACACTTCAAGAACAGCATTTAATTTAGTTTGGGATTACTTTTTCCAGACCTTTAATGCAGTTTTGGGGGTTAGTACGCTGTCTTTTGTTGTATCAGTTGCTGCGGCAGCTTCCTCTTCCTCCTTTGTAATGATTACGTTTATACAGGCATGGCTGACTGCTGGTTTTTAAAAAGTGGACACTATAATCAGCTGTCTGATTAATTAACTGGCCAGTCAAATAATCGGTTTCCCGATTAAATTCAGTCCTCTGATGATTTGGTCTCTCTCTAGCCACGACACTCTTTTCATAATGTCTTCAGTGATACATAATGAAAAACGTCTTCATACAGATTTACCATAAAGCCCTTAAGAGGTGTTTTACCCAAGAAAAGCAGTGAAAATGTTTATTAGGTGTTGAATGTGAGTTGGGAGGGTTCAGAGTGTAAATAAGAGCTTCCTCTGTGGATCTGTTGAATTTATTCTGACTGTGGTTTTCAAGACGAGCACGACTCAAATCTGAGGCTGGAGGCTGTGGACGAGGAACAATGATGGCATTCTTGAAGCATTTCAAACCAAACAGAGGAGCCGTTCAGCAGATTTCAGAGCCTGCTGGCTGCTCCCCACTCACGAGTGAGAAGAGAGTCTAAGGCTCCGTTTACCCGACACCCATTTTGAGCGAAACGGCAACATTTCGGCTGTTTCAAGTTCAAGTTGAGTTTATTGTCATTCACATCGCATTTACATGAGGTGGAACAAAATTATGAACTTAAGGTCCCAGTTACACCCAAAAATAGCAAAAGTATAAAGTGTAAAAGAAACGGCATAAGTGTCTTAACGGTAAGCGAAAAGATCTAAGATATACACGAAACACTACTAATGTAAAACAATATGACGTAACAGCAGCAGCTCGAACATGAGTCTGTGGTGAGCAGATGGGTTTGAATGAATACAGCAGCATAAAATAATCAGCAGCATGAAATAATCAGCAGCACAGATAAGTCACGTATCACCAATTAAAGTGGCATTACATTGATTATCCTGGTTAGATATTCATGAGTCTTAACAGCTTCAGGGTTAATGCTCCTTAACCTCCTTCCTGAGGGGAGCGGGACAAAAAGTGTGTGCGCTGGGTGAGTGGGGTCCTTCTTGATGCAGGTGAACCACTTCCTACATCTGGAGGTGTACATGTAGATGTCTGTGATGGTGGGGAGGCTGACTCCAACAGACTTCTGTGCAGCCTTCACCACTCTCTGCAAAGCTTTTCTTTCTGCAGCTGTGCAGCCTCCATGCCACACGTTGATGCTGGAGCACAGGATGCTCTCCACTGCACACCTGTAGAAGGAGGTGAGGACTGAGCTTCCCAGACCAGCTCGTCTCAGCCGCCTGAGGAAGTAGAGTCTCTGAGCTTTCTTGATCAGGCTGGTGGTGTTGTTTCCCCAGCTGAGGTTGTTGCTCAGGTGCACACCTAAGTACTTGTAGTTGGAAACCACTTCCACCACATATCCTCCTTTGTTCAGGGGGTGGTAGGTGTGTTTGCTCCGTCTGAAATCCACAACCATTTCATTTGTCTTCTTCACATTGATGTGAAGGTTGTTCTTCCTGCACCAGCTCCAGGTCTTCCACCTCCTTCCTGTAGCTGGATTCATCATTGTTTGTGATGCATCCAACCACCGCCGTGTCGTCGGCAAACTTTACAATAGGACAGCCTTTATGGATAGGTGCACAGTCAAATGTTAGCAGAGAGAACTTAAGGGGGCTTAACACATAGCCCTGAGGTTTGTGTTTGTGTACACAACAGCGATGCTCATTGGATCTAAAACTGAAGCTTTGAATCCAGGTCTTGGAGTGGCAGTGTGGGTTCTGTGATTGTTGCTTCCTTGTCATGTACCATCCCACAATTCATTGAACTTGTTTTAGCACATTTTATGTTGAGTCAGTTCAGATGCCCTTGGCTGAACAGTTTGTCGCTACACTCAAGGGGTTCTTGTCCAAGTAGACTTTCATTGTTGATCCAGGCTCCATTATAGTGCATGTGTTTGTTTTGGATCAATTTGTTGTAACTTCCTGTGTGTTTTGGAAAATTACTGCCCTTTTAATTGAATTATTTTGTCATTTTGTGGTGGTTGTGACCTCTTTTCTGCACCTCTGGCCTCTTTTGAACTGAGTGTAAAAAGCAGAACGGATGCACCATAACCCACATCTTTTTGATGCCTCTTTAATTTATATTTTATAAGATGCAGAAACAGAACTTGATTTGAAGTAAACGCATCTCTGAGCTTTTGTTATTTACATTTTGTTGAATTCCCAAACCAAACATCCTGCTGCAGATGCAGAATATTTAAAAAATGAGTGAAAGTCGCTTTGGAACTGTGGACTACTGAAAGTCTTCTGCTCAAACATTACATTAATTTCTGCAGAACATAAGACAAAAACTTTAACAGAATGCAACTAAACTGCAAGTTCCTAAAGAGTAACTCTTAATTCTTTTTTTTTTTAAATGTACAAATTTGTGATGCTTTGTTTTACAGAAAAGAGCTCCAGGCGGCCTTGCTCCACTACACCACAGATACCCTGACCTTCATCCACACAGTGAGAGGATTCTCCGAGATGTTCCCCAGGTGGATGCTGAGGAGGGAGACAGAGTTAGACATGATGATGGACATCAAAGAGAGAGCCGACCAAATCGACCTAAGCTTCTCCCATGTTACCAACTCAGGGGGCAAAGGAAAGGCTTTTGTGGAATACATGAAGAGCACGTTCCAGATGAAGACAGACAGCAAGTATGAAGAGCTGGAGAAAGAGCTGACCGAAGTGTTGAAGGACACCCTGGAAGGTCTGGAGAAGCTCAGCTGTTTCCTGGATGCAGTGGAGAAGCTGGCGGTCACCTCCCTGCACGTGTTCACAGAGAACAAGGTGTTGCACGTGCCTGAAAAGATCAGCTTTAGTGATGTTCAGACCGTCATCACGGCCGCTCGACTCATCTGTCCTCTCCTCCTGGAGTTCAGAAGAGATGCAAACGTCTTCTTCCTTCCTAAACGGCAGAATTTAGACGTGCTGGCATATCAGCTAGACAAATACATCCAGACCAGCAAAACCATCTGTGAGAAAATGGAGAAGAGGTAAAATCTTGTAAATCAACCCAAATTTAACTCATCGTGAAGAACTGTCATCATCTGTAAAGTGATTTTTATTGTTTCTCAGCTGTTTCAGTGACTTTCCCCTGAAGGAAATTGTGATCAACATCGATGATTTTTCAGAAAACAACACTCAGAGGATGCTTGATCACATCAGTCAGCTTGATGAAATCAGGTTTGTTTCATCAGATATATGTTTGACAACAAATGCAGAACATGTCCATGGGTTTTAAAGAGCAGATTTTGATTTGGGGCCTTTGCTCTTGTGAGTTCACAGTCCTACCTCAGCATCTCTAATATTTAATTTTTATAATCTGCTGCCCAAGGCAGAGCTTTTCGTGTAGAAGGGGGGGTGGGTGACATGCATTCCTTCAAGGAAAGCTAAACTAGGCCTGTCATGATAACAGATTTTGCTGGGTGATTAATTGTCTCAGAAATTATTGCGATAAACGATAATATTTAAATTGGACAATAATTAGTAATTGTCAAATTTAAAAAGAAATGTTGATTTTGTTTTGAGTGCAGTACTTTTTTTGACCACTGGATGGCAGTATAAGACTGTTTGAACCAAAAGATGGATAGTGAGGGAGCGAGCGGCGTGTCTCTAAGAAAAATGGGAGGGAGGCCCCTTGACGTGGCATGGACTGTCGCGCTTTCCGTTTTTTTCGGTTCTCAAAGCGGCGGATGCTCCGTGTGGTTTGAGCTTTTAGCATAGCATTTTTCACACAATGCTTTTAATTTAAAAAAAAAATCAGTAAACAAGTTCTCCGCTTCTTTTTGCAAAGAAAAACAACTTTTTACCCAAGAGCACGGGTTTCAACCGTGAATTTTGGAGCTTCGACAAGATGGAGTTTTTTTTTCCCCCCAAGGTCGGCCTGTTAGCTTAGCTCGTAGCTTAGCCTCTCAGCTTAGCTGCTTTTAACCATCCAAAAATGTGATTTTGGTTGGTTAAAAAATGATTTAAAAGAGAAAGGGAGGGGTCAGTGAAGAGCACCGGAGTTGAGCTTTTTGTCATCCAGTGTCTTCAGTAGAAAGAGAGAGACTCAAAGAAACGATAAAGCCGATAAATGAAAAAGATGTCCAAAAATTTTCATTTATCATGTGATTGATTTATTGTTTATCGCGACAGGCCTAAGTTAAACCTGTAATTACTGTGGAAGTTTGATTTATTTTACCATTTTTTTCTTTATTTTCTCCCTCCTAGAATGGACCCATACTTCCGGACGGTGTTTTTGTTCCAGGAAGAATCATCTGATCACTTCATCAGAGAGTTCAGCGAGCGTCAGCCCCGGATGTTGGAGTTTCTGAACGAGCTGGAGCAGAACGCCGTTCAGTTGGACCGGATGAATAAAGGAGCAAAGATCTCCAGTGTTGCAGGCAGCTCTGTGGGGGCGGTCGGAGGGGTGCTCTCCATCATCGGCTTGGCGTTGATTCCAGTTACAGCAGGGGTCTCTCTCGCTCTGACGATGACCGGTCTTGGGATGGGGATCACCAGCGGAGTCAACAGCATCGTCACCACAGCGACTGAGGTTGGAGTTAATCGCACACATCAAAAGAAAGCCAGTGAAGTGTTTCAAAGCTTTATGGAAGATGTGACGAGACTTCAGACATGTCTGGAAGAAGTGACCCGACAAACGGTTAAACTGGAAACAAGTGGCATCGAGGTGGCCTTAGGAGTAGGCAAAGTGATCTTTAAAACTGGAACTATTGGGAAAAGCATCGATTCGATCATTGATACTGCCTCTACTGTTAGACTGTTAAAAACTGAAGACCTCATTTCAGGTGCTGGCAAGGTGGTGGTTCAGGAAGGAAAGGCGTTGCGTAACATACCCAGGGTGGCCTCAGATATCCCAGACGTTGGTCAGGCAGCTGCTAAAGGGACTCTTGCTGTGTCAAACTCAGTCAGAGCCAGTATGATTGCGCTCAACGCACTCTTCCTCGGTATGGACATCTTCTTCATCTGTAAAGACGGCATGAGTCTGGCCAAAGGCAGCGAGACTGATGTCTCCCTGTTCATCAGAGCCAGAGCTGCACTCTGGAGCTCAGAGATAGACTCATGGAAGAAGATCCACGACTCGCTGTGTAAAGGTCTCGTAACATCTGGGAAAAAGGAAGCCGTTCTGGAGACACCGTTTTATCTGGACACCGGGATGGAGAAACTGGAAGAAGAGGAGGAGGAAGTTTATTCTGATGCAGTGGATGAAAAACAGATTGTTAAAAAGATGTGCGTGGCACAGTAATATCACATTTATGCAGAAACGACAACGAATCACAAAATTAAAAAAATCAAACTGCACAGAAAACGTCCCTGTTAATGGCAATAATCAGTTAAATGGAGCTTTGAGATTTTGATCAATAGACTTAAACTCCACTGATTTATTCAACTGAACATAAATTTCCCTGGTAGTATTTGTACATATTTCTTGACATAAACATCAACCCCGTTTCACAACAGATTTAATCAATAGATTGTACAAAATTCTCATCATAAAAATCACATAATTACAAAAATATTAGTTGAGCCGAGATCACTGCCTTTTATGTAAACATAAAAAAATGCAACATATATATATATATTTTTAATGCTTTGTAAATCAATCAAGTATAATTATAGAATACAGGGACCAGTTCTGTGTTTAACAAACATTTAATATGAGCTTCTAGTTTGCGCTGCTGCAAATCAGTAACAATATCTTGTTGCAGATAATGTTTCTTTTTTTTTAACCGTTCTCATTCTATTTTACAGTAATGATCCTTTTAATGTGCAATTTATACAGTTATTACATTAACGAACACCTTTTTGACTCTGCTGATGGACTTGTGAAGATTATCATCTTTTTGGTGACCTCTGACCTGAATCATATTTCAGACTGTGCTCTCTTTAAAATAATTTTTGATTGTTTTTACATCAGCTCTGACTGATTCATTCTTCAGGCTTTAAAATGACACGCACATAATTTCCGTGTGAAATTCTGTTTGGTTATAAGATCTTTTGAAACAACAATATTGACGGTTGATCATTTGCATTTATTTAATGAGATTATTGAAATGCTTTAACACATTCTGTTGCTCCGCTTTAAGACAAACGAGCTGCACTCAGCTGCAAGTCGTTGGACAGAGTGAAACTGTCGTGTTACAGGAAACTAACAATTTAAACGGTTTCCAAAACAGACGTTGAAACTGATAACGAGCTGGAATGTGCCGAGTGTTTCCAGTGTGTGTTCAGGTGTCCGTCTTCCCTCGTTCACTTCATCTATAGGTTGTAAACCTGAGCAAAAGAGAACAACATTTATTTTCCAGCCAAACAGAAGGATGGTTAAATATAGAAATGTACTTTTACAGCTTTGAGATAAGCTGACGGAGAGGGGGTTGCCTATCACTCGCCAGCTCTTTTATCAGCTGCTTCCTGGTGGTGTGACCTTTGACCCACCTCTGGTTATCTTGGATGAGGGACTGATCCAACCAGGATCCCTGAGCTGTAATTTGGAGTGTTGGAGTCCGGATCAGCCTCTAATGACCCCAAAAGAAAGAACGAGAGCCGACTGTATTTCCAGCCTCGATCAGTAAAGGACTGATGACAAAACAGTTTTGGTTCTGGTTGATCGATTTCAGCTGAAACATATTTCATCCTCACGTGACCAAATTAACAACCTCTTTTCTACCAAATTCTAAAGTGGACTATCAGAATAAATTGCCAAAATTCCTGCAACAAAAACCTAAATAAGATCTCCTGTCCAACGATGTTCTTTTAGATTTAGATGAGAATCATGACCTCATACCTTATTTAATGATTAATTATTGCTTTACCTTGTTAAATCAATAAATCATGACGGAATTAACGATAATTTCTTTAAAATATTGTTGTCCAAATGCTTTAGTATTAGTCATTTTGTGTTGGTGATTGTTTTATTGTGATTTAGATTATTTTTGTAATAAAATTTTACAAGACAAATTCGGTCTCTTCATTCGGTAGATATTTTTTAAAGAGTTTCTTTAATTAAATAAATTCAGCCTCGGTGTTAAGTGAACCAAACCGCCTCTTAAATGTGAGGCCAACCTTCAGTAAAGCCGTCTTCTCCACCGACTCGTGCTGCAAACACACATCAAACAAACAAACAACCTGTGACGTATTTATTCAAAAGTATTCAAACCAGAGCGGCTCCGACCGATCGTCAGACTCAGGAGGAGCAGTGTGGGTTTTGTCTCAAGCCTGGAATCACGGACCAGATCATCTTTAAAAAGTTGAGCTCGATCTCGGTGCGAGCTGGACTTCGCCTCGTCTTCAGACCTGAACAGGATCTCAAGGCAAAGCTAAACACGTTCTTTCAGAATCACCTTTTATCTGAAAAGTATCTACTGATAATGGACACAGTTAAAACTGCTGGGCTAAAAACAACCCAACATGTCACCAGCACTGGGTCAGCTGTGGACCAAGACAACCCTGCATAGTTTTACCTTTGGCTTAAGTTTTCTACTCAAAAATTAGTTTAAAAATCATTAATCTGTTGAACTGGAGCTACTAAAAGTTGATTAAAAATCGAAACCTTATGTAATTACAGCGTGGGATGGTGCTCGCTGGCCCCAATTGCAGTTAGCATCGGGTAGCTTGAACCGTTTTAGTTTAGGAAATCAAACTCAGGGTTTAGTGCAAATTAAAGTTATTAGCAACACAAACTAGGTTAAGTTACTTTTTACTGTTTTAGATTTACTTATTACATCAGAGATCCAGTCTGGTCCATTCTGGCCTGAACTGATGAACTGTGAAAAGTGACGCAGCTCATCTCTGAATCACCAAGTTTTGGTAAAAAAAAAAAAAAATAACTCAGCAGCTGAGTTATCAAAGTAAACCCTGCAGTTGTTTTTGTGTGTGTACGTTTTCCCATTTAAAGTAAATTAATTCTCTGACATCTTAATAAACAAATATTAAAAAAGCACACTGATAAAATTATTTGTTATTATTCTTTATTTAACCAAATCAAATTCAGATCACAGAGCTGTTTAAAGGGAGGCCTGAACCTGAAGGCAACATCAACACTAAACCATAAGAGATTATTAGCAATTAAACACATTCAATCTCGTCGAAAATGTCAAAGTTTTTTCTTATTTCACTCCTGAAATATGCTTTTCAGCAAACATAAAACACTAAATATACAGCTCAAACTTTTTAAAATAACTTTTATACTTGGTAAATTGTCCGCTCGGACACACTCATCGCATATCTAGAGCTTCCTCTTTGAATAAAACGACTTCTCGAGGACTGCTCCGTTTTCTTCTTTGGACAGTTTACTTTCACACAAAGCGTCGCAGATCTTCTCCCATGACTCGATCTCTGAGAGCCACAGAGCAGCTCTGGCTCTGATGAGCTTTGAGACTTTAGTCTCGCAGCCTTTGGCCAGACTCATGCTGTCCTTAGTGATGAAGAAGACATCCATGCCGACGAAGAGAGCATTGGCTGCAAAAAATAAACTTCTGGCTCCATGAGAGGCGGTGAGGGACCCGTTAACTGCTGCCTGGCTGAGATCTGGACCATCCAACACCTGGGGTACGTTCTGTAATGCTCCTCCTTCATGAGCTACTACTTTAACAGCACTTCTGATAACTTTCTCAGTTTGTAAAACATTTAAAGCAGGGGCAGCACCAGTCATAGAGTTGATATCTCTTCCAACTGTCCCCATATTAGAAGCAATCACGCCGACTCCCACGGCCACGTCGATCTCACTCGGCTCCACATTGGCTGCCAGTTGATCGGTCTTTTCTTCCAAACGGTCTTGGATGCTCTGGACGTCCTCCATGAAATTTAAGAAAACATCGTTGGCCTTTTTCTGATGTGTGTGATTAACGCCAACATTTGTGGCTGTGGTGACGATGTTGTTGACTCCGCTGGTGATTCCCAGTCCGACACCGGCCATCGTCAGCGTCAGAGACAGCCCTGCTGTAATTGGAATTAAAGCCAAGCCAACAATGGAGAGCAACCCTCCCACTGCTCCCACTGAACTGCCTGCAACGCTGGAGATCTTTGCTCCTTTACTCATCCTGTCCAACTGAGCAGCATGCTCCTCCAGCTCAGTGAGAAACGCCAACATCCTGGGCTGTCGCTCCTTAAACTCCTTAATGAAATCAGAAGAGGAGGATTTCTGGAACAAGAACGCCATCCGGAAGTCTGCATCCATCCTGATGAAGAGAAAAAAAACTGTTGAGGACAAGTGAAATTACAAATGTAAGGAGTGCTACGTTTACTTCTTTTTTGGCTGATCCTGTTTGGGGTTGCCACAGTTTATCCTCCGCCTCCATCTCACCATATCTCTGCATCTTTCTTTGTCACGCCAACCTGACTAGAACCTTCTCTGTCATCTTCTTTTGCTCACACACAGTCACAAACAGAGGCAATTACATCACAGCCCGCCTCTCGTGGCATCAATAGCAGCCAGAAAACTCTGCTCCACACAAATCAAAGTTTAAACTCACCAACCCCTTCCATGGCTAAACTTGTGACAAGTGTCGTTCATGGAAGTCACGTATTAATCCACACATTAATTTGATCAAACAAATCAAACCAATAGTGGGACGCATCACAAACAATGACGAGTCCAAATACAGAGAGGAGGCAGAACACCTGGTGCAGTGGTGCAGAGATAAAAATCTCTGTATCAATGTGAAGAAGACCAAGGAGATGGTGGTGGATTTCAGAAGGGACTTCATCCCCTACACATCGGAGGAGCAGCTGTGGAGGTAGTCTTCTGCTACAGGTACCTGTGGGTGCATATATCCAGTGACCTCACCTGGAGAGCCAACACTTCCTGTCTGGTTAAGAAGGCCCACCAGCGTCTCTTCTTCCTCAGGAAGCTGCAGCGAGCTGGAGTTGGGAGCTTTGTCCTGAGGAGCTTCTATCGCTGTGTGGTGGAGAGCGTTCTCTGCACCTGCATCATTGTGTGGCACGGCAGCTGCACTGCTGCTGAGAGGACGGCTCTGCAGAGGGTGGTGAAGGCTGCACACAAGACTGTGGGGAGCAGCCTTCCCACCACCTTAGACCTCTACGCTTCACGATGCAGGGGGAGGGTGCTCCGCATCATGAAGGACTCCACTCATCCTGCACACAGTCTGTTCCCGCCCCTCCCCTCAAGCAGGCTGCTGAGGAGCATTCAGAGCAAGACCACCAGGCTCGGAAACAGTTTCTTAATTCACTTAATTCAGCTTCATCCAAATTTCATACCTCAAACACGCAAATGTGAGCTGGTATGACAATTTAAAAAAATCTGTGAATACTAATAGGATGTTCATTTATTTTAATTAACATGTTATACTGACAGTTACTATAAAATGCAGATCAAACTTACCTGATCTTGTCCAGTTGCTTGATGTGATCGTCCATCTTTTGTTTGTCATTTTCACAGAAAGCTTCATCAAACTCAGCAGTACCAGTAGTTTCTGTTGCCGTTTCCAGGTCACTGAAGAAACTGCGAAAGACACGTTGACTTCTTGCGTCCTACGAGTTCTTATTCTCCTGTTAAACATGTGCCTGTCAAGAACAATATTTATTACCTTTTGTGAAGCTTTTCACAGATCTTCTTGGTGGTCTCTGTATATTTTTTCAGCATGTACTCCAGCACCTGGACATTCTGAAGTTTGGGGAGGAAGAAGGCGCTTGCGTCTCTTTTAAACACCAGGAGGAGAGGACAGATCTGCTGTGCAGCGGTGACGACAGCCTGAACGTCACTGAAGCCGACGTCTTCAGGCAGGTGTAACATCCGATTCTTTATAAACACGTGCGGCGAGGTGACCGCCAGCTCCTCCACAGCATCCAGGAAGGTGTGGAGCTCCTCCAGCCCGTCCATCACACCCTTCAACACTACAGTCAGCTCATTCTCCAGCTCTGCAGTTCTGCTGTCTGCCTTCATCTGGAACTTGCTCCTCAAAAATTCCTTTAACGCCTTTCCTTTCGTGTCTGATTGGGCAACATGGCTGAAAGTGAGGTCGATTTTGTCATGTACCTCTCTGATGTCCTTCATCTTGTCCAACTCTTCCTCCCTCCATTTTTTCCACCGAGGGAAGTTTGAACAGAACTCTCTGACTGTAGAGATGTAAGCGAGAGTGTCGGTGACGTACCGACTCAAGGCCTCCTGCAGTTCCTCTCTGTAAAACGACAACGTCAGAATATTTGCATCTACAAAATAATACGTTCGCACAAATTTAAATGATTACAGTCTGTAAGAGATAGTAAAACTACTTTAAAACTAAAAGAAATACACATAAATTAAACTATGCATGATTTTGATTTCTAACAACTAGAAGTTGTTTGGTGCAGACAGGTACGTTTTTAGTGGCTTTTTTAAGAGTTTCTATACAAAATCAGATGCCTGATGCAGAACCCACAAAATGGTAAATGGACTGTACTTATATAGCGCCTTTCTATCTTATTGAGATACTCAAAGCGCTTTACAACACAATCTGTGCCTCATTTACCCATTCATACAGCTCTATACTAGATCTCTACAAAGCTAATTGAACAAATCATTCTAAAGAGACTAATCAGTGCTTTATCACATTCATAAACCAATGGGACAAACATCGGAGGCAACTAGGGGTTCAGCGTCTTGCCCAGGGACACTTCGGCATGTGACTGCTGGTGGATTCGAACCCCCAACTCTTGCATTGGAGGACGACTGCTCGAACCACTCAGCCACAGCCGCCCCTTTTAAACAGACAACTGGTTTAAAAACAGCAAAAACATGAACACGACATGCACATACATTATAATATAATATAATATGTGATATATTTAAATTAGTTCAACAAATATTATTCCTGATATTTTAGATATTTAACATTCCATTTTGTTATCATCACTGATAATTAAATTAAAAGATAGATAGATCCAGACAGACAGATTAGATAGATTTTTTTTCAACCTTTTCTCAGACATATTGTCGTCTCCACATGGCCTTGTTCCGTCTTCAGCTTTAAAAAGAGAAGGAGTAGAAACATGTTGCAACGTTATAAATAAGCAGATTTGTACAAACAGCAGCTTGAGGAGCCTGGTGTAACAAGACTAACCTGTTTAGCTCCACTTTCGGTCATGAGTCGCTCAAATTTCTGTTCTTTTAAACACTCATCTGGACTTAAAAAACAAGATATTTATTAGTTAGTTAAACAAGTTATTTATTACATAGATAAATAAATCAAAACAATAAAACTAATAATTGTTATAATGATATTAATACTATATATATCTACATATCTATA